ACCCCAATGGCAATAACAACTATCCCAATGGCAATAACAATTACCCCAATGGCAATAACAACTACCCCAATGGCAATAACTACTATCCCAATGGCAATAACTACTATCCGAACGGCAATTATCCAAACAGCAACTATCCGAACAATAACAGCGGTTACCCAAGTAACAACAACGGTTACCCAAACAACAATAACAACGGTTACCCAAACAACAACAGCGGTTACCCAAGTAACAACAACGGTTACTCGAGTAACAACTATAACGGTTACCCAAACAACAACAACAACGGTTACCCCAATACCAACAACAACATCGGTTTTCCTAACAACAACGGTTACCCCAATAACAACAACAATTATTATCCCAGTAACTACTACCCTAACAGTAATAACAATAATCCAAATACATACGACTCTGGGTACAGTCAGAATGGCAACAACCGAAACGGTTACCCAAATAACTATAACAATCAGAATTCCTACCCTAATTATAATAACGGTTACTAAGAGAGATATAAAAACTTGTTATTGTGATTCATTGTACTATATGCAAATTAAAAAACCCAACAACCTATACATCTTACATTGCCAGAAACTATCTGACATTCTTTTACATCTAGAATCTAAAATAGACAAACGCTAACGGCATCTTTTTATTTTAAGACAGATTCTTAATTCGATCCAACTATGAACAATCTTTGGGCAAATGTAAAATTTTGCTGTACTGTACGTTAAAGTTCCAGAACTACTGTAACATTTAACTGGTAATCACTGTTTCTAGATGCCGAACAAGCGTCCTTTCTTGCCCGATCGAGCAAGTGTTGGTTAACGGGCTTTGTATTGAAAGAGTTCCACCAGGTCAAAGGTGTAGGCATTCTCTGCAATGCTATGATGCTTCTGAATGTTCCACAGACACCCATCGTTGCGTATGCGCTACAGGAATGCACCTAATAGGCGAATACTGTAGGAAGTTGTTGTCCGATGATCCGTGCAATCAAACGTCATCGGTGAGACAAACTTTCATTATTTTACGACCACCAAGTAGCATTTAACACTTGTTTCATACTTAATCTAAACATTTAAAAAATGAAAAAGAGCAAATCAGTTATAGCCGCTGTGTCACTGATGTAGGACAAGCGTAGAATAGTCGAAAACGAGAACAAATGGTTCCTCAGTCAAAAAGTCGTGGAACTGTTATTATAGTTTACCAAAGTGTCAAGCAGATAAAAATTAGAATATAATGCAGTAAAGACCTAGTTTTTTTAGCTTTTCGTCTTACTTATCAACTTTATATCCAAATTTTTCAACAATTAAGTGCTGTATGCGTAAAATGCTGATCAAAAAAAAAGAACAATCAGTTCATTTTGAGTAATTTTAAAAGATGTTGTAAACGCAAAATCTTTTTTTTACTAAAACTCTTTGCTTTACCAAAACAAAAACGTAAATCCGCGATAAATGCAAGGAAGTAATAAGGAAAGTTTTTCTGCTTTCCTCTATTCATTTTTACAACCATATTATGTTGTAGGTATTTTACAACAACCAGTGCGTACAGCTTAGGAAACCTGGATTCAGTTGTCAAGTAAGCAGCCAATGTTTAGGAGGCTCAGAATGTAAGCTCGGTTACTGCTTGTGCCCCGAAAATTCCGAATTGATAGGAAGCTACTGTGTTTCAACGAAGGCTACTTGCGCCATGAATCAAGTAATTAATTTTTATTTTTGGTCGTGTTACACTGTATTTAGAAGTTCAGAAAATTTTGTCTGTTTCGCTTCGAAAATTAAAAAAATTCTATTTAAATGATAAAGCAATTCTAATCTACTACGTAATCACTGTCACTGCTCGCCATTTACTGCTATTCCCCAACTAGGTTCTAGATTCCAAAGACAGAGTAATTTTTTGGATTTAAAAGGATAACCTTTCTGGAGCAAGTTTTGACACTATTTCTTCGTGCAAAAGTCTGAACAAATAGAAAACCAACGATGCAGTGTTAGGCAGATAAGGCGAGAAGTAAGAAATTTGGCAGCAAAATCTATAAACATTCCTTATCGTTGTTTCTGATACATTTGAGCTGCCAAGGTGACACTAGATATTATACTCTTCCCGTTTATTACTGATGCATGGAAAATGTCTATCATTTACTGCATTTTCATTGTTCAGTCATAATACACTTTTGCAGTGACTGGTCAACAGGGTAACAGCAGTTTCTAATGACCGGTTCACTGATAGCCGACAAGACATAAAGTTAAATCTCTTTGGTGTTACTGTCGGGCTGGTAGACAGCAGAGTACTTTCGCTAAAGAATTGTTATTTTCTTTTACTCAGATGCATGTATTTCTAACAAACCAAAAATGACTAGTCTTCACCTTCAGAAACTAATGAAGCAGCATATTTAATACCACTTTACTGGACTTTCCTTTAGAGAAATTATTTTTCAATGATCTCAAACTGTTACATGCAAGAGAAAGACAAAATTTTCTGAATAATAAGAATAATGCTTAGTGAGAAATAGGACTTTACCGCTTATAGTCACACTTCTGACTTTTCTTAGGTTATGGTTAACAAAAGATGTTTTAACACGGCTGAACTCGGACAGCCGTGTCAAGTCACCGATCAGTGTAAGGGTAATGGTGAATGCACTTACGCTGGAATTTGTTCTTGCCCCTCCGGAAAAAAGGTTTTTGCTTAGAAATATCCATTTATGATACAAGCTATTGACACTGGTCAAATATTGACAAAAGTTTTTCTTTTTCAGGAAGTGGATGGCTTCTGCCAAGTCACTCTCGGCCTCCAGTGTCCGGTTTCTCAAATTCAGGTAGGCGTCTTGGTTCGATCTTCTACGCTAAGAATCACCTTCTGTTAAATAGTTGAATAGAAAGCGAGACAGTAATATGCGCACAGTAGTCTTCCTCCTTTGTGCGAGACCTTAATAAGAAAGTGGATAAGCGGATGAATGCCGTACAAATAAGAAAAATATTTAATTATCAAAAAAACTTTATGGATTGCATCAAAACAGAATTTTTTGGTACCTTTACTTAGAACACTTTTTACTTTTTAGTGAGCAGTTGTTTAGATCGGTGAAGTATGTTACCCGAGAGTTAAGCCATCCTCAAACTGTACTCACCCAGAACAGTGTTTAGATGGTTCAACTTGTACAAACAATACTTGCACTTGTCCAAGCAGCAGAAGGCTGGTCAACAAGTAAATAACCTTTCATATCAGTAGTGCCCAAAATGTGATATTTCAGCATATAGGAATTATAATTTTATTCAGTTACTGCGTGTCAGCCTCTGCCGGTTTTTGTAATGAAACACAAATAAGCATTAATGGAGAATGTCTGGAACTACAACAACCTGGCCATTCCTGCACTAACAATATACAGTGTTTGGGGTCTTCGACGTGTCCCACAGGTCAGAAGCTGTTTAAAAACCTGCTTTTTTAATTTAGATTAAGCTTTTACTGAATTTAGGCACTTGCACCTGTTCTGAAGACTACATTAATTTTGATGGTTACTGTATTCTTAAAAAGATCGCACTGCGCTGCGCTACCAACCAGGTGCTTCCCGTATCCGAACATCAATTAGTTTCCTGAACAAAAATAAAGCAGCGCTTCTCTTCCTGCTCCGTTTCGCCGTAAACAGTACTGCATTTCAAAGATTTTTAAAAGAACTTCATTATTTAGAATTTTTTCAGTTACTGATTGATGGTCACTGTTACAATTACGCATATGTTCATCAGTATTGTGTTCATAATCAGCAGTGTATCGGAGGAGCCCAATGTCGCAATAATTTTTGCGCTTGTGAGCCAGGATATATATGGGAAAACACCAGTTGTGTAAATGCTAATGGAAACTGCGCACCAAATCAGATTCATATCAATGGAATGTGCTACGATCTTTTATACATCGGACAATACTGCTACTTTTCACAACAATGTTTGGGAGGTTCCATTTGCAGAAACGGTTATTGTCAATGTCCATCTGGTACGACAAAAACCGGCAGCAGATGTGTCTTTAGTAATACGACAGCATGCACGGCTACTCAAGTTGGCGTTAACGGAACTTGTTACGAACGCGCTCCAATTGGTGCTTC